CCTACAACCTAAACCCTACAACCCTACACCCTAAACCCTACACCCTAAACCAAACCCTAAACCCTACAACCTAAACCCTAAGCCCTACACCCTAAACCCTACACCCTAAACCCTAAACCCTAAACCCAGTGGCTCGGCGGCCTCCGTGGAGGTCTCCTTGCTATGCAGCGGGTCGGCGGGCTTCTCTGTCCGTCTTCTCCTCCTCTCGGTACCTTACTTCCCCAATAAGCCAGGGAAATAAAGGCTAAACTTTCAGATTGCTACTAAATCTGAAAAGAACCCATGAACTTTAAAGGTTGGGTATTGGGGAACTAAGGTACAGTTGCTTCACAAAATGATCATTTTTCATCCTTGTTGGGTGTTGCATTAAAACAAAAATGTAAAAATGTAGCCAGCAAGGACCCAGGTACAGTTGCTTCACGATTTTTTGGTGCTCCTCTCCTCTCCGTTCGCTTGCCAGGTCAGAAGCGCACTTGCCCTCCGAGTTCCTCTGATTCACATCTGCCCCTCCAGCCAGGAGCCAGGTCACAAGCCTTGATGATCCCTAACCCCCCAGGTACCTACTATATAGGGTACTAGAGCCCCTAGGGCCCTATATAGTAGGTACCTGGGGGGTTAGGGGATGGCTGGGCACGAACCGTACATAATTCTCTGTAGTGCTAACTTATAAGTCGGTTTAATACTGGTAACAAGACGAAATGAAGCGAAACTCCTGATGAAACTGATGTCTACGAGCATGCGGCTGCCCATCGATGAGGCACCCATTAAAGGCGAAGTGCCTTCCTTGTTCTGGGCATTGACGTTTGAACGCGCTTCAATGAGCAAACGGACGGTGTCCACATGCCCTTCGCTGCATGCCCGAATGAGCGCAGTATCACCCGCTTCATCCCGCCAGTCAGGATCTTGTGGCGTATTGAGCAATCGGTCCTGGTCTCAGGCACGTCGGTCCAGTCTATGAGGTTGTTTGCTTTGTACTTGAAACTCGCCGCGTAAGTTGCAATTACAACTCGAATTCCTCCACCATCCTACCGGCTTCATCCCCCCGTACTCCAGCTCTAAAAAACCTTGCTACAGGTGGCCTGATTACCAAACCCCGATGTCTTGTGTTCAAGTGCCTTTTTCCTGCTCCGCAATATATGTCACATGCTGGAGTCGTAGGGCTTCACATCAGCCACACCCAAATGCAACACATAGCATCCATTGCAGTTCTTTTATTTGGTATGGCCGATTTTAAATTCAGGATCCTATACGGTACTTGTCCCCCAAAAATTTGAACTACAATGGACAAGCCTAAACCCTAAATAAACTCTAAACCTTGCAGTATAGGTAGTCCGGAGTTCAGGGTTCCGTGACTTCTACCTCAGGGTTCAGTTGGTTGAGGGTGTAATATATAGGGGCCTTAGTAATTAGAATAGGGTTTCTTGGGCGTATATTATACTATAACTATAATAAGGAACCCCAAAAACCCTATTCTAATCAATAAGGCCCCGACATTAGGGTTTCGTCGGTCAGCTTCCCACTCACCCAGCTGACAGAGCTTCGGGCTTGTAGGGTTTAGGGATTTGTAGGGTCTATGTAGGCCTTAGGGCTTATAGGATTAGGGTTTAGGGTCTCAACGCTAACGAACCCGAAGCCCAGTTTCAATCTCCATTGCATTGATCCCGCGAGCCACGGCGTTGACCACGCGATCTTCGATGGGAAGCTCCTCAAAAAGCCGATTGCACCAGGAATAAATGTCCAGTATCATGAGTACTGCTTGGTTCTTTCCATCTAGTTGTTATCTTTAAGAGCAGTATCATCTTTCATGCTCATCATTATCATTATTCATCCCTTCAGCACTTTCAATGCATGTGAATCAGCGCTGGGCTGACTACTAAAACAAAACCACCGGAGACCCCGCGTCCTCGTTGTGGGGCAGCAGAACCAACTCAACTGCCGGAGGATCCTTTGCTCAAAGCTTTGGGGCCTAAAGTTAAGAATCAGAATCTTCCTCCCCCCTCCACCAAAAAAAACTCAAGTCAGAAGCATCTTGGTTGGAGGACTTTCTTCGGCATGCAATCGCTTTCAAGGCCCGGAAAGGGAAAGCTGAACGCAGCTGAGGCTCAAGCCTGGAGATCATATCTCCATCCTCCAAGATTTCGCCCTGGTGAACGAGCCGCTGCTGGAATCTTGGCGGCTTCCCGGCTTTGGTCAGATATCTCTTCAGGCTCTTGACGTCGGTGACATCGGATAGAGGTACCTCTGTGAAATCCTCCCCGAGCGAGGAAGACACGCGAAGCATCAGATCCCTGACGCCGTGGCCACAGGAAGTGTGAAGGAGCCAGAAGGAAAATGGTACTGGCAGAGCCGCGAGGCTTCCGGCGAAGTGATTCAGACATCTTAGACATGACTCGATGACAGTAAGGACTTCTTAGACTACTTAAGGATTGCATCTCCTTCAGAGCCACACCTTGCAAAACAAGCTGCCAATGACAACTGCAGGAACAAACGGCAAGCCTGGTAATCGCGAACGTGATGCCGGACGTTCCGACGTCCACCTGTCTGGTTCAGTCGTTAGGGTCTACGCAAACTCCATGCCCAGATGCTTCATGAACAATGAACCATTCCTGTCGAAAGTGTCTAGTCTGTTTCCAGGCTCGTCGCGCACTAAGCCACAAAGCAGATTGGGGAGGTTGAACGGATGCTCCATTTGCCGACTAGGAGAAGGCAACTGTCGTGTGTCCAGGTCGCTGCAGGTGAGTCTTCCCTCTGTCACATACGTGGAGTTCAATATAATTAGAACTTTGCTCTTTCACTAGTTGTGTTCTGCTCTTGGCAGAACCATCATCATGATCTTGAGGCAAGCGAATGATATCTATGTTTGCCGAATCCTGAACACTGGGCTCGAGCCCACCGGTGTGTCTGGGAATTTCATATGTGTGGGATCCCCTCACATCGTGGCACACACTGCCGCAAAGGTTTTGGGCTGTGCGTCGATCGCAAACACTACGTCTTCCGGTGTACTGTAGGAGTTGGAGTAGCACTATTCGCATCATGACGGCCCCTATATTCTGCAACTGCAGGGTGCTTGCCGAGCCAATGCTACGATTCCGTTGATCGATCTGACTTTGTCAATTGAGCCTTCTGCCGGATTGGATCTTCTTCGGTAAGTCGGCGCAACTTGATGCTGTGGCCTGCTGCCACTCATAATTTGAACAGTTTTCCTAGCTTGCTGTTGATATCACTATTTGAGCCGTATTTGCGAAGCAGCCTCCAATCATGGCAACTCAAATTCGGAAGATGTTGAAAGGCTTAGGATTTCTGGCGCAGCCGGTACTAGCAGATCAGAGAAACTGTAAAGGCATCGTCTGAACCCTGCACAACCTACAAAGAAGCAGACAGAAAACCCTAAACCCTAACCTCCAAAAGTTCCGCTAAGAAACCAGGGCCTCTAGACATCCCTAGCAAATGCCTCTACCCTTTTCAGCACGGAATGGGGTGCCGGCCATCGCCTATGCAACCCTCACCCCCTCTTAAGGCAAGAGCACACAGGAAAAGCTGTGGATGATGCCTCTACCCTAAGCCCTAAACCCGGCATTCCCTCCATTCCTAAGCCCTATAATCCCCACAGTTACACTCCTCAGCCCTAAACCCTACATTCCCTACAGTTACAGTCCTAAACCCTAAACATCCCTAAACCCTACATTCCCTACATCCTACAAGTAGCTCTGCGGCCCGGGTGACTGCCCCAGAGGTGGTCAGCAACAGCCACACCAGGAAGGTCGCCAAGGAGATGGTGAGGACCAGCTGGGATTCGGGGCTTCAGATAGCTTAGAGTTCGGGGCTTGATGGCTTTAAGGCTTAAGGCTTAGGGTTTGCGGCTTTAAGGGTCTAGGATTTTTAGGGCTTGGGCTTGGGAGTCAGAACCAGCTGAGAAAAGAGAACTTGCAACAACAAAACCTTTTCAAGCGCTGTACAACCCTAAACCCTAAACCCAGGATCCTGTCAATTCTAGGTTCCTATAATACTGAGGACCGGCTGAGAAATGGGCCTCAGGACTGGCTTTTTCTTTGTAAAGGCAACTAATTATAAGGGGTACAAATGGGGAACACTAGGACATAGTAATGTCACTTACGAGAAATGCTTGGGTTTTGCAGTGCAAGAGTAGGACTCCGGCTGGCGTGAAGTAGGATGCCAGCAGGTCAACTGTTCGTTGAACTGTTGGTCGGCGTGTCTGCGCGTCCTGCAACAAGAGCCAAGAGCTTAAGTTAGAGCTTTCATTTATTTAGGCCCAGGCTTTGGTGTTTCGCACTTTGGCTGACGGCCTCGAACAAAAAAACGTGCAAGTGCAGAAATCCCCCAATGTGGGGTTCCTTCTTACTTGTATCGGCCCCTGCAAGCAAAACACTAAACAATCGAATAACAACACCAAGCACAAAAGTGCAGTGTATAATTACACACACACTATCTGCATGTATGTGTGTATGTATGTATGTATGTATGTATGTATGTATGTATGTATGTATGTATGTATGTGTATATATATATATATAGTTTAATGCCCTAAACCCTCAACACCCTCATCCTTCCGGTGGAGACTTGGAGACTTGCAGACAACTTAGTTTCACAAACGTGGCTTGGTTGGGCGTCAAGGACAGCCTTAAACCTCGCGTCTAGATCTTCCATGTGGGTGCGACAGCATTCAAAGCCTTAAGGTTTATCGGGCTGCTTAAAGACCAAGGGGACTCGGTAAGCAGGATGCTAAGTAACGCAAGAATACGCACAGATCTCTATGGCCGCAAATCAGGTATGTGCAACCGCACTGACTAAGTCCTGATCCTCCCTGATCCTCTCAGGAGGGTTTTTGGTCTAGGGGTTATCGGCTACATGATTGTAATGTCACCCATGTTTGCTCGGCTCCTTCAGATCATGCTGCCCCTGGTGTGAGTGTGTGTGTGGGAACCTTTATGCAGGCCGCCCGCAAGAGAGAGTACCCTAAGTTCGAGAAGGGTTCACTCCACCTGTAGTAGACATCCAATCCTGCACTCGATCGGGGGCAGGTGGCTCCGGTATTCACATCCGGGGAGTCCACGCATCGCACGTCTCACGTTGATCTAGACTCTGCTCTACTCTACTCCCGAAATCATGGCATGTCCCGACACCTTAGTAGACGTACTCGCGCCGACTGAAAATTTCATGCCTCAAGGTTACAGCGTCTCGATGCGTTTCCAGTCTCACCGACGCTCTTCATGCTTCAGTCCCTCTATAACCGAACCATACGCGCTTCACCCCACACCATCAGACCCATGTTCCTGGCCCTCGATGCTCAACACACGGACCGTTCCCTTTCTACTGCAGTGCCCTGCAAGAAGCTGTAAAGCCAAGCCCAAAAAATCGTGCTAAATCCTACGGTCAATCCTGAAACCCGTAGATCCTCAATGAAGCCCCATAGACCCTAATGTAGGGGCCTTAGTAATTAGAATAGGGCTTTGGGATATGTTATACTATAATTAGAATAAGGAACCCGCAAAATAGTATTAATGGTAGTTATTTAGACCCTTCTATTACACCCTGAATCCACCGACCTGGCCAGTAGGGGAGCCGTAACTTAGCATTCTACAGGATTACACACCAAACCCCTACAAACCCTGCCAATCCTAAAGCACTAAGGCCCCTACAGTGCCCTTTCCGCTCCTCCACAAGCTGCAAGATTCGAGCCAAGGTTGTGGAGTTACCAGCGCTGCTAGCCTTCATGGAGCTAATTCAAGAGTGGGACTAGGAGTTCAGGGACAGGGGTTTTGGAATTTAGGAGTTTAGGGTTTTGGTGTTTAGGGGTTTAGGTATTTGGCTTTTAGGGATTGGTGTCCTGACTTGGCGAAGTCAGGGAAGGATTAAGCTGGCTGTAACTTTCCCTATGCTCACTTAACTGTGATAAGGAAGCTTGGGTCCCTAAGGTCTAGTCTGGATGGCGTCAGTCGTAGTTCAAGCCACGGCTCGATTCTTTGTCCAACTTGACACAAACCCTCAAAAGCCCCAAACCCGGCCTAATTTTCCGGTTTTTGACTGTTGGCTAGATCTGCCCTCCGCCAATAGGATCGACAAACTTACGAGATCGCACCGTCACGAGGGGGTAGCAGTTCTACATCCTCAACACTCAACCCTGACTGCCGTGGTGTAAGCTACATAATGCATAACGGCCTCAATAAGTGAGATAGGGTTTTGGGGCAGCTTGTGCTACAACTACACATTAAGGTAGGGTTTTGGGGAAGCTTGTACTGCAACTACACTGTTTGGGTATGTTGTTTGGGGTTTGGGATTTAAGGTTCGGGTTTGGGTTTGCTAAACCTTGGCAGAAGGTCTCCGGGTTGGCAACACCTGAAGCTCACATGCCCTTCGGTGCATCCGGACACCACGGTTTAGGGTTTAGGGGTTTAGGGTTTAGGGTTCAGCGGTTTTGAGGGTTTTGGGGTTTCGACTCACACACTCGCAACTGCAGGCACTAGGGTGCAGCGTGAGTTCATCGCCGTCTCGGCTGACGACGGTCTAGGACGCGCAGACCCCTTACGACAGCAGTAGGTCCCAAGCTTCTAAATTCCGTGCCCCCCCCCAAAAAAACCCTAAACCCTAAACCCCGAAACCCTAAACCCCAAAACCCTAGACCCCAAAACCCTAGACCCCAAAACCCCAAAACCCTAAAAAACCCCCAAAACTCAAAAACCTTAAACCCCAGACCCCAAAACCCTAAAACCAGAACCCCAAAGCCGCACACAGCGACCTTCATGACGAAACCCGTCTGCACTGCAGCGGAGCCGCCTGAATCTGGCAGGCGTAAAGGGTCGAAGGAACAAAAGCCTAGGGCCCAAACCACATATATACTACATAATACACAGTAGATAACAAATAATAACACATGTATATTTTTGTATATAACATACATATATATATATATATATATATATATTCTTGGAGGAAAATTCCTGACCGTTCGCTAGACGATGGCGAACCGAACTCATTCATTCTCTGCAGGAAGTTCTGAGAGCCAGGGGCCCTTTACGTGACTGAACGACCCTACAAGACGACAACCCACAGACTTTAAACCCTGAAGTCGGGAAGCCTTAAACCCATACCCCTTGTCCTGAAAAGCCTACGACCTATGCAAACCCTGAGTTGTACCCTGCAGCTCCTCCCCTGGCTTCCGGAAGCTCTCTATGTCTGTGCCCCTTTTGCAGTTCCAGCATTGTATTTCTGTGTCCCTCTGCTCATTACTCTTGTTCAGGTGGCTCATAGCCTGGAGTCTTGAGC